GGTCCAGAGGAGACAACCGTCTGATTCCACAGCATCTATCCAGCTCCAATAGATAGTAATTCCCCAGTGCAGAGGGGCGTGGTTTGGTGTAGGTAGGTTCTGCCTCCACTGTGGGCCCCAGGGACTGATCCCTGTGGCCCCAACTTGGTGGCTGTGGGGAGAATAATGGCGACACCCCAGTCCCTTCTTCACGAACAAGGTGTCCCAAATCGCTCCTTTGAATCTGTCCTCACTGTGCTGCGGGCACAGACGCAGTGGTCTGTCTCCCTCCACTGTCTCTTGTTTACCGTGCTTAGCTGGGATTTAAACTCCTGCTCCATGTGTGTTGTCCACCGGCTGTATCACAGCACTTCAGGGGAGCTGACTGGTTTCTCCTGCTGCAGATTGTACCCCTGACCTGCCACAGAGCCCGGGGCTGGCTCCCCTCCTCCCCAGGTGTGCGAAAGGGCAGAAGCCCTCGTCCAAAGAAAGCCCTGCAGATAGAGATGAGATTCCTCTCTGAAACACCTGCAGTTAGAGCTAGGATCCCTCTCCATCCTGGTCCGAGGGTTTTCTCTTATCCAGATACAGTGCTACGCTTCCTCAGCCACTCTTTCTCTTCCCTTTCTTTCTCTGCAGATGGGGATCCCTCCCTTCCATGCCTACATGGCCCATTTTATCACCTGCAGTTCGCAGTCACCCACTTATGGAGCCATCCGGGTTTCCCGTTTTCTCCTTTGTAAACTCTGTCTCTTTTCTTCCCAGATTCTTGGTGTTCAAAGTCTTTTGGCTTCAGCCCTCCTTTATTTGAGAGACACAGGAAGTACAGATCCCCCTACTTCTCCGCCATGTTGCTCCCCCATCATCTGTTTTTGAAGTGACATTCCCATCATACTTTCTCTTCTTTAATCATGGTTTTCTTTAATTTTTTTGAACATGTTTATAACTACTTTGGCACCTTTGTTAGACATCTGGTTGCTCTCACAGGCAATTTCTATCACCAGCTTTTTTCTCCCTGGCATATGTATCATACTTTCCTATTTCTTTGCATGTCTTTTAATTTTTTTCTGGGAGCTGGACATCTTAGATAATATAATGTAGCAACTATGGGTCCTGGTTCCCTTTCCCCCTTCTGGGGCTTGTTATTTTTAGTTGCCTGTTCATTTGTTTAGTGACTGGCTGAATTATTTCACCCTGCAGTATGATGCAGTATTATGTCCTTGACATTCCCCTTGATGCGGTTTTGGAGTGGTGGTGGGGGTCCAAAGCTGACGGCCAAAAAAGAATTCTTAAGATGTCATTGGTACTAAAAGGTGTTTTATTAAAGCATCAGGACAGGACTTATAGGCAGAAAGAGCTGCAATGGGGTTGTGAGGAGTGACTGATTATAGAATACGGAATTACGAGAGGCAAAGGCAATAGGGAGGTTTCCAAAAGGACTTTCATATTTAAAGAGGACTCATAAGATACTGGAGGCCTAGCTATTGTCAAGATAAGATTGTTTTTCCCTCTAGCAAAGCATTAACATTAAGACAGTAGGAAGTTCCTGGAGAAATGTTGTACTCTGCCCGCCTCAAGTATTTGTCAATGTGCTGCAGTTTATGAAGAAATTTAATTTTATTTACATTTTCTTCTTGCCTTTGTTCCCCACATCACTGTGAAGGAGGGGGGTGGTATTAGGGCTCCGTGAAACTGAGTCTATAGGTTTCTGGCGATTGTCTTTTTTTCTTGTAAATCATTAACATAATTGCAAAGGGATGAAGACTTCTTCCCTGCATGACTGTGATCTCTATCATTTAACCATTTGTTTTTCCTTTTCCTTTTTTCTTGAGCCATCTGGAGTGCCTTAAGAATATCATACATATCCTACTCAAGGGGGGAATTTGTGGGGTGTCGGCTTGCCTTATGCTCCCTTGTCACCCTCAGGGGATATAGTTTTGGGCTTGCCTTGGAATGATGATGGTTTGGACAGGGCTCTGTTTGGTGGCTCTTTCCCTGGCCATATCCGGCTGTTAATCACCACTAACTGCTGACTTGTTTTCAACAATGTCCTGATGCATAAATTTCTCCAAAAACTGATCTAACTACATTTGGGATCCTTTATGGGGAAAGTTCTTAAGGTCAGTGATTAAGATTTGTTCTGACCCCAAGAGGGCTCCCATTGCTGCCACACTTTTTTCCACAAGCTTCCCAGCATATATACTCACCTATGTCTTCAATGTATCTATTGTTCTCACAGTTGTTTTTTGCCAAACCTCTACTGTTTTTGAGAGTGGTGGAACTTATCCACACTATTGAAAATGAAGTCTGTTACTTTGAAAAGATATTGAGAGCTATTTGCTTTATAGCCTGCTTCTCCACTCAGGCAAAATCCCTGAGCCAGTACCTCTGGAGGTGGATGGGAACAAAACTTCCAGTTTTAAAATAAATAAATATAAACCATAGAGATGAAAAAGATACTCTAGGGAAGAGAGTCAATAATATTGTAATAAGGTTGTATGGTGACATATGATGACCACATTTATCTTAGTGAGCATTGAGTAATGTATAGAATTGTCAAATCAGTATATTGTACACCTGAAATGAATATAACATTGTGTGTCAATTATTCTTGAATATAAAAAAATAAATAAATATATAACAGCAACAACAACAAAAAGAAAGTCAAAGAGAGGAAAAAAAAGAGTACATCAAGTCAGCTACAGAACTTTACCCTTTATCTAATCTTAGCTGTCTGATCTAAGGCTAGATTATCAACAAAACTGTACACATGCTTATGGCATCAGAAAACAGTTTTAAAATGTGGTATTTTCACAAAAGAATTGAAGTGATCATCATGGGAAAAATCTGAGCCTTGTTGATCTTCCTTAGCTCAAATATGTGAGGTTTGATACCGTTTTTGTCTGAATTACATATGAAGGTAAAGGTAGAGAACCATATTTTTTAGTAATTATTAGTATTAAAGACCTTGAACTGACTTGAATATAGTTAAGGACGTAGAATTGGAATGTCTCTGATTTGGCACTTAGTATAAACACTTTTAGAATAGCCTTCTTGATTTTGTTTCTCAGATTAAATGCAACAAATGAAAGGCAGTGAGGGGTGGAGGAATTTCTAGGTGATTTCCTCTGACAACAAATGTAACAACCAAGAGCTTGGGTGTGATGAGGGGATGGAAACAAAGGCAATTCAACAAGCATGACAGTTTGGGACCATTTATGACAGGTGTTAAGTTACACTATTCACTCTTACAGCATCATAGAATAGCACAGCATCAAAGAAAGTTTAAATTTTATTGAGAATATCCACAGAAAAATGTTTATACATTATTCTTTGAATGGTAGAAATAACACATAAAAATCATTTAATAGGGCTGTGCTTTAGATTTTATGAAAAATAAGCTTACATATACTATTTTCTTTATTAATAAATTGAGGTTAGCATCCATTAGAATAATACTGTCCATTTGGTGAGAAGTAACTAAGGAAGGATTTCTACAGAACACAGAGGGCAAGACATACTTTGGGTTCCATCTTCAATCTGTGATGTACACTATGCCAGTTGCTGTCTTCCCTTTAACTACTATGTGCTTTCTGCTTTGCTTCTTAAGTTCTTGTGCCTACCCCCATCTGATGTCAAACCCACTACCAGACCAGCAGTCCTGTTTGTGGCTGGCTTCTCCTCTCCATAGCTCAAGGAAAATTCCTTTGAGGGTCAAGTATTTCCTCTTCTAGAAGACACAAACACTCTCAGTGTTTTCCAAGTATCCTTGCTCTGTGGATTAAAGACCTTACTTCTTTCCTCTCCCTCATCATTCATGACTTTATTTTCCAATTTAGCAAGGACTTACGGTCAGAATTGCTTCTTTTTTAAACTTTATCTTTAACTATTAAAAATGGATGAACTTACAAATTTATTTCAATATTGTCACTGGGATGCCACTTTTCAATATCTAGCATCTTTCCTGTGGCTGATGGTAGGATGAAATTTTCCAGTGACTGGATCTGCCTCTTAGACTCATCTGTGGAGATGAAAATGTTTTTCATCAGTCTCTGGCTTGGGTCTCAATAATAGCACTATCCTTGATGGGGTGCTTTGTTTTGGCTTCCCCCATAGTTCCAAAGAATAGCGAACACCCACACACGCACATACACACACTCTACTTATTCCACAAAATATATATTGGGGCTTGGGGTCTCTTTTCCTTTACCCCTATGTTCTGGAAAATACACAAAAACTGGCTATACTTTCTTCAAATAGTCGCAATTTTCCTCTGGCCTTTATTTCCATATAGGAACCAAGTGGATTAATTTTTATTTCCTTCTCTGAAACTTACGCTTCTGGGTTTTAACCAGGAAAGGACTTTAAGGCCAGTGGGATACTACATGAGCAAAGAAGACTAACAGAGAAGATTCCTTTATTATTGGAAACTCAAAGCTGTTTATTTAACATTTATAATTTTTACCCTGCCTGCTTCCAAAAAGATTTGAGATGGCATACAGTAAAACAGGCAAGTAGGAGGGGAGGAGGAAGAGAGGGAGAGCACGGATTCTGTGAGGTAGTGCATGATAGGCAAATTCAACTGCAGTATTTATTGGCATCTTTGACTTACAAAGACATTGTAGCTTGTGCCCTGTGTACTTGTCCTGGTACTTTAACTTCTAGAAATTGATTACAGTGGTCTCCAGGCTGAAAAGGCCACCCCAGAAACAGGCTTGATAGATACCTATAGAAGAACAAGTTTTTAACTTAGTGCAAAGCTCTCAAATTTGTATTGCTATCTGTGCTTTGTATTCTGTACTTCTTTTTAGTATATTATTTTATCTCTCTAGTTCTAAAAGTGATATCTACAACAAGACTTACATAGGACTAGGCTATTACAAACACTAGTGTGTGAGATAATCATGCACATTAGGGAAACAAAGGACAGTTGGGAAGCATTAGCATTTGTTGGTATGTCATGTTAATCTGTCAGTTGACAATATTATCTCCATGCCTCCTAAAATCAGGGACCAATAATTCTACCAGTACTTGTTACAGACGATCATCTTTTTAAATGCATTCCTGAGCTCTGGGCTCCGGAAGGCATATATAAAGGGGTCAATGACTGCATTGCACATGATCAACATGCCATTCGCTTGGAAGAGGGACATGTAGCAGGCACAATAGGGGTTATTTGGGCAAAACGTCATTAACAGGATATGAAGGACAAAGGGGGCCCAACAGAAGATGAAGACCCCAAGTAGGATGGTCAGTGTGATGGCCCCTTTCATGTTGGTTCTGGGAATGGTCAAGATCTTCCTGGCATGGGAACGGGCAAGCAAGAACATGTGCACATAGAGGCACAGAATAAAGATCAACATCAGAGGAAACAGCGATGTGAAGGTGATCACTGTGGGGATGTGATGGGAGAAGATCACCATGGTAATGGCACTGCCTATGCAGCTCGTCCAGATGACCATCAGGACAACAATGGCACGGCGCATAGTCACAATGCTGTGGTACTGTAGAGCATGGAAGATTGTGAGGTAGCGGTCAGCAGCTATCACAGACAGGCTGAAAATGGAGCCAAGGAGGGAGAGGATGAACAGGGAGTCGATGATGTCATCTGCAGTGGTTTCAAAATTGCCACGAGGCTTGAGATAACCCATGTTTCTGAACATGATCAGGATATTTTCCAGGATCTTATATAGGCTGCCCAACATATCAGAAATGGCCAAGCTGCAAATGAAAAGGTACATGGGTGACTGGAGATTCTTATTCTTGATCACAGCCAGAAGGACCATCAGATTTTCCAAAACCCCAATGATGGATATTGTGAAAAATATCTCTTCTGGCAAAACCACAGGAGGGCAGTCTGAATTATTTCTTGCTGTATCATTGATGTTTTCATATAGATTGATAATGTGCTTCATTTCTCCTGCTAGTGTTTTAACACACAGGGGTGTTACTTGGACTAGATAGAAAACTCGACTGATTCTTCAGAATCTTTTCTTCTTTGTAGTACTTGCTCGAGGTCCAAGGTAAAACCACCTGGCCACCTAAAGAATATACAGCAACATCAGTTGCAAAATACTCTACAAAATAAAAACTAAGTCACATTTTTTTAAGAAAGGTCTATTGTTTCAACAAAATATGATGGTGTAGTAATTTAAATAAAACCATTTACTGGACCCTCATATTAACGTCTCTATGAAAAAAAATCTTTAGTGGAATTTTGAGCCCAGAGATAAAAATAATCATCCTTTGTCATCTCCCCTTCCCATTCACCACCCTTCTCATGAATCCAGCTGTGTTTGAGAAAAATTAAAATACGAAAATAAGTAAAAGAACTGAAAGCCATGTGTAGAAACAAAACTACCCTTCTTTGATTTGGAGGTAGTGGCTGGATTCAATGAATTAATGAGATGTATAGGTCCTTTCTATTCTACTGTTTGTCTTTCTGGGTCACTGCCTGACCCTACAGCTTATGGGGTAATGGCAAGAATATTGACGTGCCATCCCCAAAACTGACTATGAAATATGTGTTATTACTTCTGTTTCAAAGATAGAACTCACAGGAGTGGTAATTCTAGAGACTCCCAATATTTTCAAGATGTTGGAATTGAATTATGAGAGCAGAAGGATTCGGTTTCCCTTAAGCAGAAAGGGCTGAGTAGATAGATGATAGTTGAATGACTTTTAGAATTCTGTTTCTGGTGAGAGTTTTGAGAATTTTTACTGATTTAGTTTTCAGATACCTGGCATTTTTATGAAATGTGTCAAATTTGCCTTTGCCAAGATGTGTCTGCTTCTATGTGTCTGCTTCTGGGTCAATATCATTGTGTTTTTATTACTATAGCTTTGTAGTATAATGAGATCAGAAAGCATGATACCTCCAATTTTGTTCTTTCTCAAGGTTGCTTTGACTATTTGGGGTCTTTCATATTTCCATACAAATTTTAGGATTCTTTGTTCTAGTTCTTTGAAAACTGCCATTGGTATTTTGATAGGGATTTTATCGAATTTGTAAATTGCTTTAAATAGTATAGACATTTTAACAATATTAATTCTTCCAATCCATGAGCATGGTATAGTTGGTATATTCTTTCATCAATGTTTCATAGTTTTCAGAATATAAGTATTTTACCTCCTTGGTTACATTTATTCCTAGGAATTTTTTGATGCAATTGTGAATAATATTGTTTTCTTTTTTTAATATTTTTTGTTTTTCCCATTTTTTTAAAAATAGTTCATTGTCAAGTTGGTTTCCATATAACACCCAGTGCTCATCCCAACAAGTGCCCTATCTCTCTCTCTCTATCTATCTAATCATCTATCTATAGCCATCTACTTATGGTTGCTTAAGTTCAAATGCATTCTAAAAGCACTACAATTTACTCTTTCCTCATTTTATGTCTTTAATGTCATATTTTACATTTTATTACTTTTCTGTGCCTGGCAATTATTGTAGATCTAGATGATTGCATTACTTTTCTCTTTTAACCTACATACTAGCGGTTGATTCACTACATTTACTTTATGTTTACTCTAGTGAAATTTATTTCTCTTATAATTGTATTGTTTCTAGTTATGGCCTTTTATTTTATGTTTAAAGAAGTCCTTTTAACATTTCTTATAAGGCTGGTTTGATGGTGATAAAATTCTTTAGATTTTTCTTGTCTGGAAAACTGAGTGAGTTTCAATTCTGAGTGATAACCTTTGTTGTAGAGTATTCTTTTTGTAAATTTTTTTTATTTCATTGCTAAGAATGTATCATGTTACTTCCTTCTTGTCTGCAAACTTTGTGCCTAAAAATCAATTTATAGTCTTATGGGGGCTCCTTTGTATGTAACTAGGTGTTTTTCTCTTGCTGCTTTTAAGATTCTCTCTTTAACTGTTGACATTTTGATTATAATGTGTCTGTGTTTCTCCTTTTGGGTTCATTTTACTTAGGAATCTCTGTCATTCCTGAAACTTGATGTCTGTTTCCATCATCAGGTTTTCTTTACTTCTTTTTCTGAGGTTTTGTCTTGTTCTTTCCTTTGGAACATATTTCTCTGTTTCTTTATTTTGCCCAACTCTTTGTTCATTTCTATGTATCAGGTAGATCAGTTATGACTGATCAGTTTTGATTCCTGGTCTTAAAGGAGTAAATTTATGCAGAAAGTGTTCTGTAGACCTCAGTAGTTCAAATCCCTGTGGTCATTTGAGCCACTTGCTCTATAACTAACCCCTGTATGGGCTGTGTGTACCGTCTTGTTGCAACTGGGTCACAATTGGTGCAGACTCATTGGCATATGGGGCTGTCCCCTGGCTTGGTTGCCTGCAATGTCTGGCCATGGTTGCTAAAAGCATGCCGGTAACAGGGCTGGCCTTTGGCTCTTCTTGTTTGAATGCTGTGGGTGCACTGGTGGGTCAGACAGACTTCTGGTGCAGCTTGCTATGAACTCTGACTGAGACTTTTCTAGGTATTCTGGTGTTCAGCGCTTGCTTCCTTGGATAGGGGTGCTTGAAGGGACTCTGTTGCTCACTGAAGGTACTCGCTGGACTGGTAGAGTAGGGAACTGCTTGGGAGCAGCTCTGATGCTGGCTGAGGGCATCTGCCAAGTACGGTGGGGCTATGAATCATGTGAAATGGGCTCTGGTGCAGTCTGAGGCTGTCTGCCAAGAATGGCAGAGCAGTGAGCCATTTGGCAAGGGCCTAGACCCAGCAGATAGATTATACAGGGCAATTCCACAGGGGAATTCTGGGTCAGGATGAGCAGAGCTAGTACAGCAGATGCCAGTGCTAGGGCAGCTAGAAAAAGATGAATGCCCCACCAGTGCTTCTGTCCCTGGGGAATGTTATAACAGATACTCAGTCCTCTGGCACAAGCCCTAAAATTAGTCAGTGGATCTCCATGTATAACCCAGGTGTTTTTCAAACTGCTATCTCTATGCTGGGTCTCAGAGCAAGTGAGATCATGGGCATGCCACTTAATAGTGAGATCTGGATTTTTTACTCCTTTCTGGGTTTCCAGAATATAAGCCCCATTTTTTCAAAGCCAGATGTTATGGAGGCTCACCTTCTCAGTGCAAGTCCCCTAAACTGTGGAGCCCAGTGTGGGGTCCCAACTCCTTGTTCTTCAAGGAGAGCCTCTACAGTTCTGATATCCTTCTTACTTGTGGGTCGCCATGCTGGGTGGGTGGATACTGACTAAACCATCTCTCGGCTCCTCCTACCCACATCAGTGTGGCTTTTTCTTTATATCCATAGTTGTGTATGATCTGTTCTGCTAGTCTTCAGTCTGTTCTCAGAGATAGTTGTTCTTTATACAGATTAGATTTTGGTGTGTCTATGGGAGGAGGTGATCTCAAGATCTTTCTACTTCGCTATCTTGATCCCACCCTCAGAGCCAATTAATCAGATTTAGTACATATTTTCAATCTGGAATGCATTTGATGCTGGAACTGATTAAAAAAAATGTTGAAAGAGGTTTTGGCACTTCGTAGGAAGAGGTGGTTCTGAAACTCAGCTTCAGTCAATGTGCTTTGCTAATCTGCTGCTGCCAATCTTATAAATCTGAGGAGAGTACTGAATTTGAATAGAAACTTGATTTTGAAATAGAACCACCTTAAACAGGCCATCAATCAGCCATTGTTCCTGTGGATTCATGAATTGCTGCCAGTCTGATTGGTAGGGTCTACAGGTGGTGTGCAACCCCATTTTTAAAAAGTTTTTATTTAAATTCCAGTTAGTTCACATACAGTGTAATATTAGTTTCAGGTGTGCAATGTAGTCATTCAACCATTCCATATATCGCCAGGGGTTCATCACACCAAGTGCATATCTGTTTTTAATGTTTATTTCCTTTTGAGAGAGAGGCAGAGCATGAGCAGAGGAGGGACAGAGAGAGGGAGACACAAAATCTGTAGCAGGCTTCAGGCTCCAAGCTGTCAACACAGAGCTTGATGCAGGGCTGGAACTCACGAACTGTGAGATAATGACCTGAGCCAAAGTCCAAGACTTAACAAACTGAGCCACCAGGTGACAGAGCAAGTGTGCTTCTTAATATCCATCACTTATTTATCACATCCCCCAAACCATGTCCATTCTCATAAACATCAGTTTGCTTTTTATAGGTAAGAGTCTGTTGTTTGGTTTGCCTCTCTCTTTACTTCACTTTGCTTTTTTGTTTTCTTAAATTCCACATATGAGTGAAATCATATGGTGTTTGTCTTTCTCTGACTGACTTATTTCACTTACCATTACACTCTCTAGCTTCATCCATGTCATTGCAAATGGCAAGACTTCATTCTTTTTTATGACTAATATTACATTGTGTATATATAACACATCTTCTTTATCCATTCATCATTCAGTGGACATTTGTATTGTTTCCATAATTTAATCATTGTAAATAATGCTGTCTTAAACATAGGAGTGCATGTATCCCTTTGAATTAGTGTTCTTGTATTATTTAGGTAAATACCCAGTAATGCAATTGCTGGATTGTCGGGTAGGTCTATTTTTAACTTTTTGAGGAACCTATATACTGTCTTCCAGAGTGCTTGCATCACTTTACATTCCTACCAAAAGTAGAAGAGGGTTCTCCTTTCTCCACATCCTCTTGTTTCTTATGTGGTTGATTTTAACCATTCTGACAGGTGTGAGGTGATATCTTATTGCAGTTTTGATTTATAATTCCCTGGTGATCAGTGATGTTGAGCATCTCTTCATACGTCTATTGGCCATCTGTATGTCTTCTTTGGGAAAATGTTTATTCATGTCTTCTGCCCATTTTTTTAAATGAATTATTCATTTTTTGGGGTGTCGAGTTTTATAAGTTCTCTACATATTTTGGGAACCAATCCTGTATTGGATATGTCATTTGCAGATATCTTCTCCCATTCCATAGGCTGCCTTTTAGTTTTGTTGATTGTTTTTTGTTGA